CTCTGAACTTCAGCAGTACCTCAGTGTGATTTAAATGGAGCACTGCCTCCTGACTGTTCCTCTGGGGTCCCTGTGGCTACTAAGACTAGTTACCAGGGTTGACTTCTGTCCAGATCAATGTGAAGCAAATACTGAGCTGAAGCTGCTTTACCTCTGTCTTATTGCACATGCTAATAATATATAACAAGAAGACCTTTTAGGATATTTTGGGGAGTTTCTTTCAGGACATTTTTTAGCCTAAAAGGATAAATAAACAAGGCTCTATCAAAAGGTATATTTACCAACCTAAATGTGTCCGAAGTTTGCTAAAATTACATGTATTTTTGTTTCTAAAAAGTCAGAACAGAAACCAGGCTTTTTTAAAAAAGTGTCTATCAAGCCTTGCTGTGCATACCAAATTATGCTGAAAATTTATTAAAATGATCACATCGCTATCCTTATTTTTACTTTATTCTGATCAATGTATATATAAAGGACCTAAACAATCTTAGACTTAAAGAATTTTATGAATTGATCAAATTGTAATAGTACAAACTGGATAGAGGGGAATGCATTTATGTATGGATAACTCCTTATTCTGATCTGAGCCATTAATTAGGCTAAAACATTCTTTAGCAGAACTGTGGTGGAAAACTGTGAAATTAGGCCACAGCAGTAGTAAAGTACTTTTAAAGTTTATTTTCATATTTTATCATCCTGTTTGAATTTTTTTTCTCACTTCTTCAAAAAAATAGGAACACTAGTATTTTATGTTTTCTCAGTCCTACCCCCAGGTAAATGTTACTTTGCTAAATGATTCCAGAGTGATTTTTGTAATCCCTCCTCTTTCTATATCTCAACACTCGTCTTGGAGTTGAACAGGTGGTAATAGAAGAGTTACTGTTCATTTGTAGCAGACTGTTATCTTTGCTGATTTGCCAAAAGTGCCTGTTGCTAGTATGCACTCTAAGGGTTTCAAAGATTTGTACCTATTTAGTAAAAACATAAAAATAAGCTAGGAGATTAATACCAAATTCAGGGTTGTTGTTCTTGTTAAGTGTCGTCAAGTCGGTTCCAACTCATAGCAACCCTATAGGACAGAGTACACCTGCCCCACAGGGTTTCCAAGGAGTGGCTGATGGATTTGAACTGCTGACCTTTTGGTTAGCAGCCGAGCTCTTAACCACTGTGCCACCAGAGCTCCAAAATTCGGGGTAGATATTATTAAATCTAGAGAGAAGATGGAAGAAGGGGTTTAAAGGAGAGTAATGTGTTAGCTGTATCTCTAATGTTTTATTCCTATGAAAAATAAAGACTTGAAACAAATATGGCAAAATATTAATATTTTTGATTTGGATTGTGAATTTATGGGTATCATTCTCTATAGTTTTCTGCTGGTAGTGTAAAATAAATAGTAAAATATGTTCTCGTTTATTTTCAGAAAGAAATTCGTAGCTCGTTGGTTCTTTCAATGCTACAGCAGATGTTAATGGAAGATAAGGCAGATTTGGTGAGAGAAGCTGTGATCAAAAGCCTCGGTATCATTATGGGATACATTGATGATCCAGACAAATATCAACAGGTGTGTTTTTCTGCTTATACCCTTTTTATTCCATTGTAAAATTAGTTTATTTGCAATCTCACATTTAGGTACCTTATATTTGTAGTGGGGATATGGCAAACATACCAACTTTAATCAGCTGGAGATGGCTGCCTGGCTTCAGTTCTGCAACTCAGAGAAAAAAATGTTATGATTCATATAGAGTATCTGCCATAGCCATGTGGCAGAAAATTGGCAGCAAGCATACTATGTTTGAGGGGGTATTGGTGATTCGGTGGTAGAATTCTCACTTCCCATGCAAGAGACCTGGGTTCGCATCCTGGCCAGTGCATCTCATGCAGCCACCAACTGTCTGTCCATGGTGGCTTGCGTATTATTATGATGCTGAACAGATTTCAACTGAGCTTCTAGACTAAGATGGACTAGAAGAAAGGCTTAGCCATCTACTTCTGAAAATCAACCAGTGAAAACCGTATGGATCACAACTGTCCTACACAACACACATGCCATGTTTAGTACCCTTTCTTTTTGGTTTGCTCATCAGTGGATACGCAACATTTTCTTTAAAGAAACCAGGAAGGGTAGGATTATGGATGGCTTGCTTTCTTAGTAGTATTTTCTAAATTTTCTGTATTGTTTATTTATTAGTTACTATTAAGCTTTTTACAAGTTTGTTCTTTTAAAAATTTACATATTACCTGTTTCCTTTTGGCAGGGTTTTGAATTGTTGCTCTCAGCCTTGGGTGATCCCTCAGAAAGAGTAGTTAGTGCAACACATCAAGTATTTCTACCAGCTTATGCTGCCTGGACGACAGAACTTGGAAATTTACAGTCTCATCTTATACCTACACTACTGAGTAAGATTGAAAAACTTCTCAGGGTAAGTCTTTTCTTTGTTTATATAATTTATAGAAATTTAAAAGATCTATTCTAAGCCATGTTGGAAGAATATTGGGGACCAGGGACAGAAAGTACTACTTAATTGAACATTCTATTTAATTGCCAGGTGAAGATTTTGTTGGGCTGGAGCCAAGAGAGAGATTTGAGGAAGTTTGCTTTGCTGAAGCTAGAGTAGAAAGTACGTTGTGGATTTCTTAGCTGAATTAGCACCTCATGGAATTAACTTGTACATTATCCAGAAAGCCAGCTCTTCCTTGACCCTTCTCAGAACTTAAATATTTTATTTAAAATGTTAGCTCCAGTTCCCAGAATAGAGAGGTAACTAAAGTATGACTTTCTAAAGTTTTCTTATTTATAAGATGTCAAAATTGCTTTAACTCTGCTTGTTTCACTGCAATATTTCATTCCCTCGCTTTTTGTTTCCCTTGAAGGTCCTTTATTTCTTTCTTTTTTTT